AAAATGAATAACATATGTGTCACTGGAATTGGGAGAAAGATGGGGCAGTCTGCTTGCATAAAGATGTATACTCTTGGAAACCCTTTAGGGCAGTTCTACTCTGGCCTACATATTCATTATGAGACAGAATTGACTCATTGGCACTATGTTTGCTTTTTGGTTTTAGACCCTCTGTCCATTTGAAAGCTAAAATAACAGAAACTCTGAGTAGGATTTAATTTTCTACATTCACTATACTAGTAAATGACAGACCTACAGCCCATATTTGATCTTCCCATATATAATAATGCATATTTCTTATATAACACATATTATTCATTTTTATGTATAAACAGTATATATTATTTCCTATATAATTTTATAGAAAATACATATATTTCTTATACTGTACTATCTGTCTCTGTAAGTAAATCTGAGCTTAATGGTTTTTTAAAACTCCAATCTGCATTTGAAAATGAACTGTAATTAGGGACAATATGGTCCCACAATACCTGGGCAGAATTTAAACAATTTTTGACAAAATAAGCCTGAGTGAAGAATATTGATAAATAATTAATAGCCTATAATGCTTAAGGAATATTCCCAATTGTCACATACAGCAAATAAATTATAGATTCAGGACTATTGCAAGATAACTCTATTGGGCCTTTCATTAGACTTAACATTGACACTCAGATTTATGGCTCTGTTATAAGCTTTAATACTGAGAAACATTCTAAAGGAAAGGAAGATATCATTAACCATCAATAACGTTTTTCCACTGTCACTGGAAAGCAGCCACATTATTTGAAGTGTATTGTGTAAGTTATCTGCAACTTGTCTGCTGGCAACAGGATGAAGATTCAAAACTATCATACCATTTGACCCAGGTCACTTTAAAATCACATTGTTGTTGTTATGTGCCGTTAGCAGCTGATTAAGATTCTAGATTAAAATTGGGAATTAACTGAAATTCTATAGCTCATCCATGGCAACAAACTAAATGACAACATTACTCTTTAGGTAGTACAGTCTTCAGAAAAATTAAGTACAACCTTCAGAAAGAGGAAGTTTCACTTTAATTCCACAACAAAAACACATCACTGTTTAACCAGCAGCCACACGCAAAAACAGAATCCAGCTGACCCTTAATACAGGTTTAAATTGCATGGGTCAACTTACATGTGGAATTCTTTCAAGATACGCATCTTAGATATATTCATTACCTAACAGATACCACACTAGAGAATTTAACAGAAGATAACTTGATGGAGATGACTGCTTCCCATCCAGTGCCAGATGAGGAAGCCATGCCAGAAAACAAACTGACATTAGACAATCTAGCAGAAGGGTTCCACTTATTCAAGACTGTTTCTGACTTCTTTTATAACATGGACCCTTCTATGATACAAGCACTGAGACTAAAGGAAGTGGTGGAAGAAAGATGGCTCCACATAGAAACGTTTTTAGAGAAATGAAAAAGCAAAAATGTCAGACAAAAATTAAGATTTCTGTAAAATTACACCAAGGGTGCCTGTTTCTCCTGCCTATCCTTCCACCTCCTCCACCTCTTCTGCCTCTACCATCTGAGAAAGCACGACTAACCCCTCCTCTTCCTCCTTAGCCTATTCAATGTGAAGACAAGGAGGATGAAGACCTTTATGATAATCCAGTCACTTAATGAATAATAATCATCATGCTGTAGTTAATAAACTTATCTGTTGTGTCTTTGTGTGAAAATCTAATAACTGTACAGCAAGAACTGTATTAATCAACTCTTTATGTTATCAATAAGGCTACCAGTCAACAGCAGGCTATCAGTAGTTAAGTTCTGGAGGAACCTAAAGTTATAGGTGTATTTTCAACTGTGCCAGGGGGTGGGGGGTTGGCACCCTAATCCCCACATTGTTCAAGGATCAACTAACTGTACCACTAACAGTGCAACGTTTACAATGTTCTTTAGCACTTTTCCTGCAGGTGGAGATGCAGGGAAGGAACACTGACACCATGCAAACTAAGCAAACGAGGCATGGGACTTGTGCTTTACATACAAAAGAAATATTTGCCTGACCCTTTGCCAGGAAGATACAATGCATATTTTCACCTAATTTTACTGAAAGCAACAACAGAGTTATGGAATAGTTCTGGCAGTACATATTACAACAAAAGTAGATAAACACTAAACAAAGCAGGAGATGAACTCATAATAGGCTTTAATTTGCAGTTAGGATATTAGAATGATCCCGTGATGTGAAATATCTGTAATATACTGAGTACCTTCTAATGGCAACCATATCCTTAAAACAGCATCACTATCTCCTTTGAAGTACTAGCTGGTCAGCTCTCAAATGTGAGCTCAGATGACAGTTAAAAAAAAAAAAACCAAACTCACTGCCTTCCAGTGTATTCGTGAGTGTCCATATTTTAAGAGCCAATGTGTAGTTTTGTTAATTCAGGAGTCTGTCCTGGAAATGAACTATGGGGTAATTTGAAAAAGGATAATATGTAGACCATTAATAACAAATTGGGAAGGGGAGGAGGTGGCTAACATGTTTTCATGCCTAGAAGGGTGAAGATAGGCACAAGTGATGCCACATATAATTTAGGATTCTAAACATTTAACACTGATCAAAAATTTTAGTCAACCCCATTGTAACTGACAGAGAAACTAGGGCTGGTTTTTAGCTTCAAATAATTATACCATTAAAACTCACAGAATTCTAAATATTCTTCTCCCAAGATTTCCTGGGCCCATGTTAAACTGAAGATAACACAGTATGCATGTATAAATAACCCTTATAAACCAAAACCAACTACTGCCATTGAGTTGATTCCAACTCATAGTGATCATATAGGACAGAACAGAACTGCCTCACTGAGTTTCCAAGGCTCATCTTTTTCCTGGGGAGCAGCTGGTGGGTTCAAACTGCCGAACTTCTTTCTAGTTAGCAGCCAAATGCCTTAGCCACTGCACTTCCAAAGCTCCTGACATAGTACTTTAAGGTATTTTCATACATATGCATACAAAGCTCTTTCAGATATTTTATTTCATTAAAAGACAAATGATTCAGTCCGAAAGATCCTTGGTTCTAAAATCCTGAAAAAAATGTCTCGTACTCCATTTCCTTGGTAAAAAACTGTGACTGATGATTTTGAAGATAGATCGATAATACTTTCATTATCATCATCACCATGGTTCTAAATGTTTTATACACATAAACTCATTGAATCCTCAGAAACTATGAGATGTACTATTATTAAACCCATTTTACAGAAGAGGAAATAATGGTAAAGAGAGGCTCTGTAACTTGCTCCAGGTCACAAAAGTAGAATAATTAACTTGACATGCCTTATCTAGGTTAAATCTATGATGCAATTAACTCTGGTGCAAAGTTATTGTGAATGGTGGAGATGAAAGATTTCCTGTATAGCCTCATTTTCAATAGTGGTCAACTGTCAATGAAGAAAAGAGGAGATGTTTCTTTAAAATGAAAAAGCTTTTCAAAAATCCTTTTAGGATTATTGGCTCAAAATCTGACCTAGTTTCACAACAAAAAGGAGTACTGGCCTGAAACAAGCATCAAAGCTTTTCTCCTCTACCAATCAGATTCTCTACCAGAGAAACACACCCTGACTTGAATGCAAACATTAAGATCACCTTCTAGTAAGAGGTACTATTACATTAAAATTTATCTGAATGAATTCTAAATGTTCTGTGAACCAGAGAAAAGTGACCGATATTAGCATCAAGTATTACACAGTGCCCAATGTTTTGTCATAGCATTTAAAGGAGAAATAAAAATTTAATTCACTGTTGTATTTTTGAAGTACACATCGCATGAGAAATTTAGAAACCCTCTAACTAAGCTGTTCCTGAGGACAGGGATCCACATTTTTATGCATCCCTGCAGCTACACTACAGTACACTGTGTGAAATTTTCATTTATGCATTTCCTGGAGACGTATCTCCCACGGTAAGGTATTGTAATTTATAGCCAAAAGAATGCAAGGGGCAAAACAAAGTGTCCAATACATATATTTTCTTAACTAATATTACAAACTGAAACGAACAGAAATAAAATTGTGCCGGATAATTCAGTATCTAGGCATGTATCACTAGCTCTTCTCAGGAATACAAATCTGTTCTTGGTGTCAGTACTTTCACTTTCAAAGGGAAAAACAGAACAAAATACTCAAAATTTCAGCCTCTCTGCTCCTAAATAGCTGAATCATTCACATCTTCAACAACCAGAATTCTTCCTGGAGCTGTCAGTGCTGTCTCGGTTTTTTGAGAGGTCCTGAATTTAAACCTTCCCTAGGAGAGCCTGGAAGAATTACAGGAAATTAAGGTGCTTCCCAAACGTATACACAGGCTGTGTTAACGTTGACCCAACAACAGGCCCTGGCTAGTAAGTGAATCACTCAAAACTCACTGCCATTGAGTTGATTCCCACTCACAGCAACCCCCATTGGGGTTTCCAAGGTAGTAAATCTTTAGGAAGCAGACCGCCTCATCTTTCTTCTGTAGAGCTGCTGGGGAGTCGGAACCACCGACCTTTTGGTTAGCAGCCAATACCTTATCCACTAAACCATCAGAGCTCCTTAAACGAATCGCTAATGAAGGAAAAATACTATGCCGAGAAAAATACTCGTCTATTACATGATCACCGATTACGCGGCTACTCAGCACAATGCCCGGCTCCAGACAAACGGCCAAGACCGCCAGGCTCAGGCCTCCGGCGGCACTTGGCGCTCAGCTCCCCGTAGAGTACAGAACCCCTCGGTCTCGGCGCAGCGGCTGGACCCTCACCCCACCCCAACGTAGAGTCAACGCCGGGCCCTAAGGGGACTCCGGGACCCTAAGAGAGCTCTGGAGGGCGCGCGGTGGCTAAGGGCCCCAGCGGAGCTCTGCAGGTCCCGGAGGGCGGTTCTAGGAGAATCTGGGGAGTCCTGGAGGAAGCTGGAGGTGGCGAAAGGTCGGGATGGAGACGCCCACAAGGCGCGCGCGGTCCGGCGCTCACCCAAACAGCCCTCGGAGGAAGGAGTGGGAGGCTTTGACTCGCTTCTCGGCCTCCGCCATCAACTGCACCGCCTCACGCTCCTTCCCCGCGTTGTCCATGTCGCCGCCACAATCACTGTCACTTCAACCTGCTCGCGATGCGCCCCAAGCGCCTCCGCCTCCTTCCTTGCCTCCCGAGGCGCGCAGGCGCGCGCGCACAGCCTGTCGGGAGTTGTAGTCCGAGGCCCTGCCTTGGAGGCGCAGTTCCGCGAGGAGTGCACTACACTTCCCAGGTAGCCGAAGCACGGGAGATGTGTGATCGTGAGTTTCGAGGCGGGGGCATGATCCTCTGGAGGGCTACTAGGTCAAAGTGTTTTTTAGTCTTTGGGCGTGTGTGGGAAATGGAATGTGACTGGTGCGTTCTACTAAAATATCAGCTAAAACACGCAGCATTGTAATGGTTCAGGAATCCCTTTTGAACATGACTCATAAATGGCAGTGAGATGGATGAAGGCAAAGGGATAACAGACTGGATAGTTGCAAATTCTCCAAAGCAGCCCCTGAAAGCAGTTCCATTGCCATGTGATGCCCACCAATCAGCCACCGAAAAGAATCCAACAACTGTCAGAAAGAGCCATTTTTATCTCCCCCAAGATAATTAAGAATGTATTAGTGTCTAAGGCACTTGACCGCTAACCAGAAGGCTGGCGGTTCAAACCCACCAGCCACTCCTGGAAAGGAAGGTTGGGCAGTCTACTTCTGTAGTGATACGCTCTCGGAAACACAAGGAGGGGTCGCTATTAATCAGTCCGACTCCAGGGCACAAAACAACAACAACAAATAGAAATTAAGTTATTTTTAAGTTTCCAAACTGCAACTCTCCGTCCCCTCCCTTCGTACCTTAAAAGTGAGTTAACGTTTAATATGCATAATCCACTCTCTATACTGACTGAATTTTATACTCTCTTATGCTTTACAAAATGCTAGATCAAGGGGGAAAAAAAAAAGTGGAAGGTAAGCGAAAAAGGGGAAGACCCTCAACAAAATGGATTGACTAGGTGGCTGCAAGGAAGGGCTCAAGTATAGCAAGGATTGTGAAGATGGCCAAGACCCAGCAGTGTTTCCTTCTGTTGTACATAGCATTACTATGAGTCAGAGCCAACTCAACAGGATCTAACAACAATAACTGGAGGGAAGAGGGTAGGTCTCCTGGGACAAAATTCCTGCCTGCCAGGAAGACTGCTAATCTAAAAATATTCCTAGATAGCTTTAATCTGCAGGATATGCAGGACTGTTCCAGCAGTAGTTATTTTTTAATGTAATGTCTAGACTGCTTACACTTGGCAATGTTGAAGCCGAGGTGGTGAAGCAAGAATGAATATCACGGTCAAGTGAGAATTTTTGAAAATTTCAAACTATTAATGAATACATTGTGGACATTTGTATGCAAAATTTGGGAAAATGAAGCCTGTCTTTAAGAGAGCAAGGCAAGAGGGGCCAAACTGCTAAAAAGGAAGGTAACTAACGCATGTATCACAGAGTTCATTCATTGCAAGACACTCTGCAAAGAGGAAAGTCTATGTTGTGCAGAGCTTATTTACTATTCTTATATGCATTATTCTAACTTGGACAAGCTTATTTCATCGTGCATGCTTTTGAAACCCTATGGGGGAAGGAATCAGGAAACTGAAGGTGGCAGGCATTATATGTAGGAGTAAAGAGAGAAAAATTATAAAAAGTGGAATAAACATTTAAAAAGTGCAACAATCTATGGGATTTTAGTATAGTGGGACCTAGTGGCATCACTAGGGTTTGTGTCACCCCCCCCCCTTTGGACCTCCTTTCATACCATACCATACAGAATCCTTAGTAATGTTCATTCCAATTTTAATCACAAAATAATAATGTGATAATTATAGTTGTAAATTGCTTAAACATAGTATCTTTGGTAATATGACTACTAACAACAAAGTTGTAAAATTTGCGTTGAATTACATTAGTAGTTACATTATTGCTGAGTAAGCAGAAGCCTTTTTTTATTTTTCTCCTTTTAGTTACACTTCACTCTCAAAAAATTATTGATAAAGGTTCATGTCTTAGTTCTCCAGTGCTGCTGTAACAGAAATACCACAAGTGGATGGCTTCAACAAACAGGAATTTATTCTCTTACAGTTGTTGTTATGTGCCGTCGAGTCGGACCCAACTCATAGCGACCCCTCCTTGGGTTGCTGAGGCAGTATCACTAAGGAAGTAGATTGCCCAACCTTCCTTCCGAGGAGTGGCTGGTGGGTTTGAACCGCCAGCCTTCTGGTTAACAGTCAAGTGCCTTAGGCACCATACTACCAGAGCTCCCTCTCTTACAGTTAGGAGGCTAGAAGTCTGCGTTTAGAGTGCTTGCTGGCTCTAGGGGCCGCTTGACCTTGGGCTTCAGCTCTGCCTCTTGTTCTAGGCCCACTAGAACAAGCTTCAGGCTTCTACTAACTCACGCAGCTACTGGCTGTGGAGGCTGACAAACCCAACATCAACAGGTAAAATGGCACAATCCCAAAATTGGCAGGCAACACAGCACACCACTAGTTCAAGTCCAGAAACTAGAAATGAAGACTAGGCCAGATACAGCATCCAAAATTTGCCAAAAAGCTAGAGACCTTTCCCAACCAAAGTCACTGCTATTAAGTCATTTTCAACTCATAGCAACCCCTCCTTGGGTTTCTGAGGCAGTATCACAACAGAAGTAGATTGCCCCATCTTCCTTCAGAGGAGTGGCTGGTGGTTCAAGCCTCCTGGTTAGCAGTCAGATGCCTTAAGCAATATGCCACCAGAGCTCCTGACCTTTCCCAAAGTTTCTCCATGTATACTGGAAGCAGCCACACCCCAAAGGAAACCGATTGACTGCTCACAGCAGATTTCACCATGGAGTTGATTACACTACATCCAATTTCATCATGAGGAATAACTAAATTCAGCTGCCAAGCCATTCAAAAGCACAGCCCAACGAAGTTGACATACAACCTTAAATAACACACTTTTCAAGTGCTGGAATTGGAGTGCACAGATATAGAACACTGTATAAAATTCTAATGGATAGCACTGGCCTATGCACAACTTTCATTTTGGTAGTGCTGGACCCATAAGAGAAGAGGCAAAAAGACTTCAGACATTTTCTGGGAAGATAGAGCAGGAAAGGAGAATCCTATACCCTGAACAAGGCAGAACCAAACAGAGCCTACTGGCCTTTCCCTACATGCAGATCAAGGTGGATTCATGGACACTCAGAGTGAATCAATATACAATAAATTAGATTGGAGCTCTAGTGGTGTAGTGCCTAGGGCATTTGACTGCTAACCAGAAGGCTAGCGGTTCAAACCTACCAGCTACTCCATAGTTTGTTTATCCATTCACCCATTCATCAGCACTTAGGTTATTTCTATCATTTTGCTATTGTGAATAATGCTGCAATGAACATGGGTGTGCATATATCTATTCATGTCCTGGCTCTTATTTCTCTAGAATGTATACTTAATGGTGGGATGGCTGTATCAAATAGTATTTCTGTTTCCAACTTTTTAAGGAAGTGTCATACCATTTCCCATAGTGGTTGTACCATTTCAAACTATGCACTATCCCCTTGTTCTGTTCAAATTTTACATTAGATGATAATGTTAAAGAAAATAAAAGGACAACTTTGAAATAATCCATTTTTCTCTGTAAGCAGTTATATTTGCAGTTCAGAACTGTAACTTTAAGAACTGTATTAAGCATAGATTATTTAGGTCTTAGGTTATATCATATAAATGAAACTTATATCACTTTAGTTTTCATGCCAATTTGCTATTTTAAAAGGATTAAATTAAAATCAAAATATTTGTAGACATTCATATCAAGTAATGAATAGAACTAATGATATTAATATACATGTCTCATTATTATTTTCTATTTTCCTCTAATAGATATTTGCCTATACTTAATTTTACCTCTCCTAATTTTGGGGTCTAAACTTTATAGAATATATACTTAAATTAAATATATACATAAATTAACAAAGCTGCATTTGGGAATATTTATAGCAATTTGACAATGGTGTAAATTGTACCTTCTCCACTCAAACATATACTACAAACTGTTGGGGTTTTTTAATTTTTTTTTCATATTTTAACTAAAAACACTTACCTAAGTATTCTTTAGAAGCTCTGGTAGCATAGTGCCTAAGGCACTTGACTGCTAACCAGAAGGCTGGCGGTTCAATCCTACCAGCCACTCCTCAGAAGGAAGATGGGGCAATCTACTTCTGTAGTGATACTGCCTTGGAAACCCAAGGAGCGGTCACTATGAGTCAGGTCCGACTTGACAGCACATAACAACAACAAGAAGTATTCTTTTGAAATTTCATTTTAAAATTCAATGAAATTGAATGAAAAGAACCACTGCAAACGGAATAATTAAATTCTGTATTTAAAAGTGTACAAAGTTGAAAGGGGAGTACAAGACATCTGAATTGGTAAGGAAGAAGTAAAACTGTCACTGTTTGCAGATGATATGATCCTATACATAGAAAATCTCAGAGGCATAGCAAGAAAACTACTGGAATTAATTGGAAGATTCAGCAAAGTGGCAGGGTAAAAAAATCAACAAACAAAAAAAGTTGGCTTCCTCTACACAAACAAAGACAATTCTGAAAAGAAGAAAAATAATACTTTTTACAATAGCTACCAAAAAGATAAAATATTTAGAAATAAAACTAATTAGAGACACAAAAGACTTATACAAAGAAAACTACAAACTACTACTGCCAGAAACTGGAAGAAATCTACATAAATGGAGGAATATGCCATGTCATGGATAGGAAAACTTAACATTGTTAATATGTAGATACAATCAAAGCATTCTACAGATATAACACAATCTTAATCCAGAGTCTATCAACATTCTTTAAAAAGATGGAAAAACAATCACAAAATTTATATGGAAAGGAAAAAGATCTCAGATAAGTAAAGCTTTACTGAAGAAGATCAACAAAGTAGGAGGCCTGACGCTTCCCAATCTCAAAACCTATATTGCCACTGTTGTCAAAATAGCCTTGCGTGGTTTAAAATCAGGAAAGGTGTGCATCAGGGTTGTATCCTTTCGCTGTGCTTATTCAAACTGTATGCTGAAAAA